ATCTGCCGGCCCCTGGAGGATGGGCTCCCCCTTTGGGTCTGGTTCCTCCCAAGGTTTCTTCCTCTTAGGGAGTTGTTCCTTGCCACCATTGCCTTTGGCTTACTCACTGGGGGGGTCCTTACGTGGCAGAAATGTAAAGCGCATTGAGACAATGTAATGTTGTGATAATGCGCTATATAAATAAAATTGCATTGCATTGCATTTGGGGAGAACTCAGAGTTGTTAAAATCTTATCTGGCTCTCATTTAAAGGAACTCAGGGTTTTAGCTTGCGCTACACTAGCAGGAAGACTATTCCATACTCCAACTACACACTGTGTAAAGAAGTGCTTCCTCAAATTTGTTTAATACTAGAACTCATGGCCATAAGTGGAAATTATCATTAATTTCCACTTATGGCCATGAGTTCTAGTATTTAAACTAATACTGAAATAGCCATTTGGCTGAACAGCATCCATACCTGTTAAAATCATATACCTGGATCATGTCCTTACCGGTATCTCTCAACCTCACGCACAAGCTCAGGCTCCTTTCCCACCAGAGAGGTGACATTCCATGTCCCGAAAGCCAGTTTAGTCAGCCGGGGATCGGTCCGTCAGGCCAAAGCCCGGCCAGCAGGCGCTTTTCAACGGGAACCTCCCCTAAGGGGAGGATTGCCCTATTCATGTCAGAGAGGAGGTACTGTCTCAAGTGGAGGAGTTCAAGTATCTCAGGGTCTCATTCACAAGTGATGGTAAAAGAGATTGAGAGCTAGACAGATGGAACAGAGCGACGTGTGCAGTTTGTCTGCAGCAAAAAAATGAGCCTGAACGCAAAGCTCTTGATCTATTAGTCCATCTTCGTTCATACCCTCACCTATGGTCATGAGCTGTGGGTAGTGACCGAAAGAATGAGATCATGGATACAGGAGGCCAAAAATGAGGTTTCTCCACAGGGTGTCTGGGCTCTCCCTTAGAGATAGGGTGAGAAGTTCGGATATCCGGGAGAGTCTCAGAGTAGAACCGCTGCTTCTCCATGTCAAAAAGAGCCAGTTGAGGTAGTTTGGACACCTGGTGCGGATGCCTCCTGGGCGGCTACCCGGAGAGGTTTTCCGTGTATGTCCTACAGGGAGGAGGTCCTGGGGCAGACCCAGGACATGCTGGAGGGATTTTATCTCTCGGCTGGCCGGGGAATGCCTCGGCACTGAAAAGCTGAAAAGTTGGTAGAGGTGGCTGGGGAGAGGGAGGTCTAGGTATCTCTCTCCTGAAGTTGCTACCCCCACAACCCGGACAAGTGGATGGTGATGGATGGATGGATGGTAGGTACTGTAAATACAACATCCATAGCAGAAACCCCATAAACCCCGACAACAACCACAAGGGGGCAGCGGCTGTCCCTGTGGAAATGGCATTTAATGCGTTCTTTCCAATCCATTCCTAGGTAATCCAAAGTGTTTCAATATTTCATACTTATGATTACAGGCCAGGTCTGATTAACTCTCAGAAACATTTTCCACTCCATTACTCACTGATAATGCTGTGCAGTGGTATTTGCTCATGGTTTGTAAGACCATACTCAAAATGACAGCTATGGTAACTAATGGCGAATATTGTGTGTGAGTGTATAGGTGTTCTGCGATGGACTAGCATCCCACCCTGCATGCACCACAGCCTTATGTCCAGTACTTCCTGAGGTATGTTCCAGGCCCCCTGGAATCCTGACCAAGATGAGGATTTTGGAAGATCGACAGAGGGACGTATGTTGTATGTGTCACCCCACGTTTCATCAGAGCAGAGGGTCAAATAATACCTTTAAAGCACGTTAGGTTTTTTGTGTTTAGTCTTTTAGAACGTCCATAATTCCGAGCTTTAAAGCAGGAAGGGGTGTGTAGAAATGATGTGATATTTCTATATAAATTTTGGTTTGCTACAATTTAATTCAAATATAAAACAGATTTTTAGAATGATGGTTTATGTGAATATATACAGGTGTACCAAAACAACTTGGGAAAACAAAATTTCATGTACACTTAGCTCATATTATAAGTACATCCTATGTCTCACACGCATGCATTTGGCAATAATCAGTGTTTACGAGCAGTAAAGTGGGAAAGAAATGCGGTTTTATAAATCGTTTTGGCACATGAAACCCACGGTAAGAAAAAAATGAAATAATTTGTTGAAACGTAAAAATCTACGCTGATCGGCGATATCAGGGAAAAGATTGATCCACGTGCGGGAAGGCGCTAGCGGTCATTAAAGTCGGGATTCGAGGACATGCGGGGCAGGATCCCCCGCGCCGCACCGCGCCTGCTTTTCACTTTGATTTCTTTATTGCGGACCCGTGCATTGTCGTACATAAACTGTTTGACACAGCATAAAACCACAAAAGTATGATTCTGCAACAAATTCTGTGGTCGTGAATGTTTTTAAGCGTCATGTAATACACTTCAATTTAAATTTATTAAGATGTCCTACTAGATGGAACTATTTATACATACTCCGAATAGATTAGTTATATTACCGCAAATACATTAACTGTATTTTCCTTGATAATGTCACAGTACGCAGATAACATACGAAAATTTCCACAGGCTTGACGGAGCTGTGAAACACTATTTTATAAACTTTGCTATTAAATAAGGAGGATGTCCAGCTGCAAACCTGAAAGCTTTACTTTTCTGTGCAACTAACTATAACCAAAAGTTCAATCAAAATTATGACATGTATTCATATTAAAATTCGAAGGAAATTATTTTAAAAATTATATAATATTTCTTCAATATACGCGCATTCATTATTAAATAACAGAATTTGTTTTCAGATTATTTTATTATATTTAAAGGCATTAGGAGAGGAGAGAGAAAACACCAACAAATTATTAAAAGTAACTGTACTTACCGCCGACTCCAGGTCTCCAACTGCAAAGCAGAGTATTATGAGCAGTAAAGCCACTGCACGTTTCGGCTCTTCGAGATTCTTTACGTTGTTGTTGTTGTTCATTTTATACATAAAACACTAACTCATCAGTGAAATGAGCCACGACATATTATTCCTTGTGTGTATTTCATAGACTAATGCTAGATACTCGTAATCGACGAAAGCTCGATCTGCAGCAAACAAACCACTGCCTTCTGCCCCCTGCAAAACTTTTTTTCCGCACCGTTTTAACCTGCCAACCGGAACTACTTCCTGCCTGCGCAACAGTGTGCGTTCAACATTAAACATGCGAAAGGTTTCTAATGTAAAGTTCATTGTTTTTTGATGCACCATTTGTATCTAAACATTTATTGTTGTTTTATTTATTTATTGTTTATTTAGTACTTATCAAGAATATGTATATAGGCTACATATTCATTTTCCACAAGTGGACTGTCCGCCTAACATTGAGTTAATGAGTTTGGGAAAATGGAAAACGACCGGTGTCTTCAAATAATAACTATTTTAATACACAATGTGTCTTTATGGTACATTTATTCCGACGTATTCAGATAAAGCACTCACAGATCACTTTCAAACTTTTTGAAGGGTTGGTGGGATTTTAAGATTGGTAACAAAATATATTTTGCTTCATAAAACACAAAATAATTAAACTCATGTTTTAAAATAGATGTATTTTCTTCTTCCGGTGTACAGGTTGTAGAATTACTATCAGTTTACAAGTTTTCATTCTGATTCAGTTTTTCTCAAATTGTTACCGTCGATCACCAGGTTGCAACACACCTTAATAACTAATTAACATCTCAATGCCGTGCCCTATATGTAAGACGACTTAAAGTTGCGAATAAAATTTGTGTTCATTAAATCTTTTATACAAATACGGTAAAAATAAATAAATAAAATAATAACAATCATAGTGGCATTACTCTGCTTAGTCGTGTTAAACACACTATTATTACTGCAAGGTGAGGGATACCGCCTCCAGCACCGTCCCGCCCCCTGTCCTTATTCTGTCTGCTCCTCTTGTTGAGCTGAATGGAAGTAACCAAAGCAAGAGGTTGAGCGAAGCTTTATAGCTTCTTTCCAACTTTAGTGCAACCAAATCTAATCGTATTTGCGCACGTTTACACTTGTTTAGAAACGAAATTATTAATCAACGCTATTCGTGCTATTTCTCTCGTTTTGATTGGAAGTTTATATACTTTTTCTCGGTGCTTATTTTCGAGGCTGGTTACTTGATTTCAGGAATCTCTAATGACCACGCTGACAGAAACACTGTCTCACACTTAAGAAGTGAGATAAACACCATAAATACCCACTTTCCACGGCTTCGAGGGAAAATGAAGTGGAGGTAGGTTATAAAGTTAATATCATGGCCTCCTTTTTGTGAACCAAATCTTGCCTAAAATTCAAATAAAGAATCGCTGTAATACTGTGCACATAATACGTACAAAATAATGAAAAATTTTAATTCGCAATCTTCTATCATTTGCAGCATATGTATCATTATCATTGTCATATCGGTAGAATCTGCGCAAGGGGTAAGTTTGTTACTTCTTCCTGTCACTTTACATTTCACTCACCAGCACTGTTGCATATAATCGTTGTTTTACCTTTTAATGATAATGATTTGTGATAATACCATGCTGGTAAAACCAAAGTGGACTAGCGTTTTGTGCTCTGTCCTTAGCGCGTCTTCCTGCTTACTGTTCCATAGCCCAAGGTTCGCAAGTTAAATATAGTGTATTTAAAAATAATCGCTGGCAACTGCACATTAATTCCATAAGGTGCCAAAAAATTAGATTATTCTGTCTACGTGTTGATTTCGGTACAACGAAAAAACTGCCGATTGTAAAGTGTGTGATTTTGACTAATTTGATGGCGTCATTGATTTTGATTTTAAGCCGGTGGCTTGAGTTCAGTTTAACGTCTATCTGAGTACGGTAGATACATTATTGTAGCCAGCTGATGGTTTGTTTTAATAATTCCAGGCGTTCCGTTTTAAAAGGCTACATAACGCTAATTACTTATAATTAATACTGTAAAGAAGCACAAAGGAGCCTGGTCGACTTTCTCTGATTGAATCGTTTAGGTAATAAGCAAATTGACACGTAGAAAATCTGTTTTTAGGTAGAAGCACTTCTGAGGAAAAATACAATAATATTTAGTCCCTCCGGAGAAGCTGGAGTTTTGATTTGCCGCCATGCTTTCTTGTACTTTTAGCTATAGCTGTGTGTTAAGCATTTAAAGATTCTTTTCTTTGCAAATGGTGATTTCTTCAAGCATCACTGGTTCCTGCTTAGGTCTTTAGAAAAAGAAGCCATTATGGGTGACTAGGTCACTGTTTCTAATGCCGCATGCAGCAGTTATTGTTAAGCCCCTGAACGTCTGCCAGTGGTGTCCCACTTTGATGCAGTGATTTAAAGAGAGGGGTGGGCAGCTTTATACAGTTCCTGCTTTGATTGTTGCTTGGTGGCTTCCCCCCCATCCAAGCGTTTTTTCTTAATAGCAAAAATTTTTTATGGCAGCACAGACATATGGTAGATTCCATCTGCGATCTTATTTATTCAAAATGCAGTCTGCTTTCTGATTTTTTGTTTTGTTTGTTTTTTCCCCTCTTGATAGTTGTGAGGGAATTTCGGTTAGCAGTGTCTGGACAGCAGTGCTGTCACCCTTCTCTTAGAAAGAATTCATGTTTGTTGACTCATCTGCTCTTCCATCTCAAACAGTACCCAAGGTGGACTTGTACCTCCTGCAATGATTGTGCCATTAATGCGGTAGTCTTGGTGGCTCCTGGGACTCCCACACTTGACACAGGAAAGTGCTGGGTGATTTTCTGTCGTACTCTCTTCTCTTGTGAATGATCAGCATTCAGGGTCACTGCTTGGACCTCCATTGTGTGTCTGATTATGAGGGATATGGATGACTGTCAGCTTGGGAGGCATGTAGTGGTAAAAATATGCCTGGCTGTCTTGAAACTGGCTGCCCTTAAACTGCCCTATGTAAAAGGCAAGTGTTTATGTAAAGGCTAATGTTCCTCGAGTGCTTTTCAAACCACTAAGCTTAGTTAGCTATTGTGGCTTTTATGCAGTCTGAGAAATTACTACAGCATAGACTAAATTTTAGTTCCTTGTAGGCTTTTATCCTTAAATCTAACTTGTGTGGTATTTTGATTTCAGTGCCATTTAAATTGGTAAAACCAGAAGGATCAATATAGTTGCTTAGGGAAATTCAGACAACAACCCAAGAATAATTGTAATGGGAGTTTGTAATTGTAATTGTAATATGGAACCATTGCTTGAGGAAAATTTGAGTCATTTTAAAGTTATTTCCTGGTTCACTGCTATAGTGTCTATCAATATCCTCTGAATTAGAATAAACATGTATTTTTTTCCTTAATGAACCTAAAATGCCACATAATCCTTTTATTATTGGTGTATTTAAGATAAGGAACAAAGTTGAGTATTATATCCTGTCATAATCTGCTCATCAGGACCTAATACCTGTGCTAAGTGAAATGAGAGAAGGTCATATCCGGTATTGTGGCCTTCTCTGTGTCACACTACCTCAAAGAAGAATTCTGTTAAGTTCACAAATGGAACAAGAAGCCATGTAGACAAATGAGAATGATCTGGGGGCAGGGAGCAGTTCTGAAGGACATTTTTGATCTAAACGCAGTTTTTACCATGGAGATGGCATTTAAAAAAACGTAGCCTGTATAGCAGGGGTGGAGGAGGGGTCTCACAGCAGGGGGGGTGGAGACAAGGGTGGGGGGAGTATTTTGCTGAGCTGGGGAGGTGGGGTTCTTTGTAAATTGTTGCAAATTTTGTGTGATCGTCTATTAAAAGGGGCACTCCGTAAAAATTTGCCGCCATTGTGGGGGTGGGGGGGGGAGTCGGGTCCCCTGATTAATTTTGCAGTGGGCCCCCTGCTATGATGGGTGGATGCCCCTCGGCCCCTCTGCTTCTTGCCTTAATGCTACATTGTTTTTTTCCCCTCAATCAAAACACTTTGCCATGGGCACATTTGTGAACCTGCAAGCTGATGATCCCTGACCAGCAGTTTGTGTGGCCTGTTGCACATTAAATGGCTTCACCTGTTAAATGCCTTCTGTGCTTTAATGGGCATAGAGCACATCTATCTTTTCGTCAGTATGGTAATTTAGGTTACGAAATTGCGGTGTAAATCACCTTACATTACATTTATGCTTCCATCAATTTCCTGTTAGTTTCTGTTATTCAAAAAACAAATTACAAGCATAAATATACATGTCATGTACACAGAGGGTCTTTTGGAAATAACTGATATTAGTGAATACAAGTCCAGTAAATCTGTCTCCCGCCTTCCATAAGCAGCTAATCAAATACCAGGTGAGACTGAGCGTTTATGGAAAATGGATGGATAGATAAATGTCACCTGTGGTATTTCACACTGCCTAAAGACAGATCAGTGCTTTACTGATATCTTTTTGTCCCAAAGAAGGGACAAAGAGTCTCCATATATGGACTGTGTATCCATGGTTTGGTTTTTGAATAAAACACATCATTGTAATATATTCATTAAATGATAATATTGTCGGATCTAGGAAGTGCATTCCCACACAACATTTTTATGATATCTTGTATTCTTTTATGATAATGGAATGTCAATCAAATTTTTATGTAATTTATTCATTTGTGGAAGAGCATCCTCAATATCTGCCACTAGCCCAGGGTCACAGAGTGGCTCCTATATAATCTAACCTGATGGTGATCAAACTTCTAGGTATGTATAACAAATAAAATAAAATCGCATATGAGGGGAGCAAATATATAAAAACTTAAGATGCGTTTGACTTTGGAAATCCTGTTGCAGGACAACATGATTTATATTCGAGGAGGGAGAATTCTTGCGTTGATTTTATTTTGAGTTGCTTAAAGCAAATGGTCATGTAGAGTTAAGGGAATGTCTCTGTTTTTTGAAAATTCCAAAAACACAAGCTGCTATAGCATTGCCACAAGAAATATCATTAGTGTCACTCCCTTACTAATTTTGATTCCATGTTCTCCGACATTTGGCTCCTGCTGCTCTTCCTTGTGGCGTTTCGGGGAGTTTGTGACAAAGCGGCAGTGTGAGGTGTGTTATGGCTCTATTTGCATTAGCTCCTTTGAAGATGTTCCTCTCACAGCCCCCCACCAATGCATTAGAGGAACGGAAGCCCTCAGAGGGCCTCTCGGCGGGTGGGGAGCGCAGCCGGATTATCTCTTCAGCCGGTGATGGACGGCAATCCATCCAGTGTTTTGCTTCAAGCCACGTGGAGACAATGCATTTAGAAATGGGATTTGTGAGAAGTTAGCGAGACCAAAGTAGGTGAGGAATAAGGCCCAACAGAATCAAGGTGAACCTCTATCTGCAATTCTGCTGATCCTGTAGTCAAAGCCCCTCATCCCAGATGGCACCCCCACCACTGTCTGCGGTGTGTTTATGCATTTGTCCTGCTGAGGGTGCCTCAGGTGGACCACACAGCAAAACATGCATGCAGTTAATGTCACTTAATGGTTCTTCACATAATGTCATTACTGATAACACTTTAGTGATCTATGTAGCGCAATTGTTTGGTCACTTTTTGGCGTAGGATATATACCAGGAAAAGATGCACATTATAATGAAATGTCTCTTTAAATTTTAAGCTATAAAGTTGCTGCATTATCTGAAAATGTGTAGCAATGCAGGCAGTCCCCAGGTTAAGTATGTCCAACTCACAGACAATTTGTACATATGAATGAACTACCATAAAATCAATTATGCTAAAAGTTCGGGTTAAATATGATGTTTCGTTATAATGAATGCACACACTGCTTTGTGACCTTTGTGAAAGCATTGCACAGCTTTAGCAATACGTTTGCTTGAGGTACAGTACCATATGTAGTTACTTTTATTATTACTGTAATTATATTTATGTACTGTACTATTTTTCCAACATGCCTATTAATTAAATTTTAAGACAGACGTAGGGAACGGATCTTGTTCGTAACCTTCGGAGTGCCTGTAATGGAATGAGGAATCTTACAGATCATTGCTGCAAGGAGGATATGGTTTCTTGATTGTGTCAGACTTGGTATGATTTACTTGATTTATTTTGACATTCTCTTCAGATATCATGAAATGGTGACTGCTACTGATACCATATCTGAATGCTCATGTGACATGAATTCCCTCCTGTTCGAATGTGACTCAATTTGTCTGATAGGAATTAGAAATGTAATCAGTGCTTGAAGTGGGCTGGAACGCAGTTCCGGAACTTCTGTATTTTCGTCTTTTGGGTTCCGCCACTTTTTTCTGCGTTCCGGTACTTACTGAAACTGATCCAACGCAGCGACATTGGCCCGAGAATAGACAATATCACAAGACCGATAAAAGACTACATGTTGTTTTAATGGTTTTTCAGTATTCCATTTGTGAATTAGAAAAAAGTAGCCTATGCCTATAGGTTATTGCTTGGAAGAATGATTAAATTAAAATAGTTTTTGAACCAACACATCCTAAAGGCTTCATTTTTTTT